TATTTAATACTGTGAGTTTCCTCATTACTGTCAACCTGTATTAACATCAACAAGTGACCAGCTGGCAAGATTTTGAACTGAAAACCCTGGTCTCTTTACTAATTATATATACACAACAAATATCTCTTTCGAGAGGTTCACATAGCTAACAAATTTTTGAAGAACATTTTGTATATTATCTCATTTCAGCTCAATAGAAGGGGGTAGAAATATTTGTCAATAATAGGTGCTTTCCCCATCTGCTTCTCATTACTGTCAATTTTAATTAACATCTGTCCCCAGTCACATACAGAGATATGGTTGATACTAATCTGAGTTTAATTATATATCAGAATTTTTATTAATGACCAGATATATTTTTTACTTGATATGGTATGTTAATAGGGATCTGTCAGAACAATTAATCCAGGACTTTGAGTGTAGTGCTGGCATGATATATCGTTGAATCTATGTATAGCGATTCACTTTCTAACAATTTGTGTATTGAATAGTGACATGCTGAATCCTATGGAAGGGTTTCGCTGCCAATATTAAATGCTCTGCGACAATGTCGTTTTCATTGATTATATGTAAATAAGTACAAAGTACAAAGTCCTAATACCGATAATGATAAAGTCAAAATACCTCTAAGGCAAGAGTTAAATGTAAAACGTCATATGTTAAGTGTTAAATGACAAATGTTTTGTTGGAAAATGCTTTTTTTTTTACGTGTCTACATTTTATATTTCTCTCATTACATTTCACATTTGCGCTCTGCCACATGAGTCCACATCCCATTTGTCATTCACGCTTTCTACATAGCAACTTTCGCACAGCATCAACTTTCATATGCAAATGTAGGATATCACGTGACTTATTAAAATATACGGAAACCCGGCACACTATAAACCGGCACACTATAAGTATATTCACCGCACGATAACAGTAAATCAAGCTGGGACTCCATAAGAAACTACCTAAACGACCATGCGTAATCATGAATGTGCCAGGAAATAATTGATAGATTCAAACAGCCAAAAAACATACTTTCCAGTAATTTATAACACAATAACTAGAATTTCGTATTAATACCTGTATTCTGATATTTTAAACACCCCTACTCTTTCCTGTCTCTCTATAAACAGAGTTGAGTACAGCCTAATTAACTTTGATCCATTAAAAAAACAACAATATATAAGCATTGTGCCCAACAAATAAATAATATATTTAAAGAGAGGAATGACTATACATTTTTTAGTATGGACATACAGAATGTTTGATTAAGCCCTGTATCTTTATTTTAGTTTAGTTTAGTCCCCCACCACCCTTCTGTCACTTCAACTTTAATCTTATTTTGTAAAGTTAAGCAAATATGAATGTGGCAGAAAATTATTTGCATATTTGAAAAGAGCAATCAGTGGTACGTAACATGGTATCTGGAATTTCGTATTTAGACCAGCATTTTTACTTGAATACCCCTTTAATAGTGTGATATTTATTGGATTTGAATTATGAAAATACGATTGTACCAGAAAAATATTTATATATTTACAAACAGAAATGTACGTGCTTTTCACTAATATGTAACATGATACCTGGAATTTCGTATTTGGACATTGCACAGCCCCCACCCCCACCCCCACCCCCGTAATCATGGTAAAGTACCATCCAAAGTGTCAAGGTAAGTAAATTTTTATTGTGTGCTAGGCTGATTTCCTGTAATAGTGTCGTGAATATCCTTGTTCTGGATTATAGTGTGCCAGGTTTCCGTATATGTTAATAAGTCACGTGATATCTTACATTTGCATATGGAAGTTGATGCTGTGCGAAAGTTGCTATGTAGAAAGCGTGAATGACAAATGGGATGTGGCAGAGCGCAAATGTAAAATGTAATGAGAGAAATGTAAAATGTAGACACGTCAAAAAAAGCATTTTCCCACAAAACATTTGTCATTTAACACTTAACATTTGACGTTTTATATTTAACTCTTACCTTAGAGGTATTTTGACTTTATCATTACCAGTATTAGGACTTTGTACATTGTACTTTTTACATATAATCAAATGGAAAAGACATTGTAGCAGAACATTTAATATTGGCAGCGATACCCTTCCATAGAATCCATGTATCATGATAATTTTTGTTATGTTTTTTGTCGCTTCAGTAAGTAACCTATCACTCTTAATTATCCACATCACACATTATCCACAAACACTCTTAAATTGTGTTGGTCCTTATTTTGGTCCACATCAACATCGCCATTTTATTTTTCGAAAGGACTAAAAATATTCATTATTCATTCACCCTGTTCTTTTCTTGGTAAATATTGACCTGGTTATGAATCGTATTGTAGTACCTGAATCACAATATGTATCGTATAATGACTGCAGTGGCAATACCCAGCACTAATTGAGTAAAGGTGAAAAATCTTTGGACAATGCCCTCCTTAAAAATATATTATTTATAAGAATTTCTATAAATGACCAATTCATCTGTTGACATAAGATACATTTTTTTTCTTGATTATTTATAATGTAGAATAGGGATCTGTTACAAGAATGGATCCAGGATGTTGAACCCCTGCCCCCCAAACCATTAAAAAAACACACCTTCTTCTTTATAGGAAACATTTTGTTATTTTCCTGTTGGTTACTTTTATTTTTATTTTTAATATGTGTAGATAAAAAGGGGTAACTGAATTCCTTTAAAAGGGGGTGGGAGAGTGGGAGAGAGAGAGAGAGAGAGAGAGAGAGAGAGAAATGGGGTTTAAGGTCCACTTGACACAAACTAGGTCATTTCAGGACTAACACATGGTTCAATTTTATTTCAATAATTCAGTTGCGCATAGGGGTCTTTAGCAGTGGGAGGAAACCGGAGGACCCTGAGAAAACCCACGAGGTTGGACAGGCGACCCTACGTACTCCTTGTCACGTACAACCAGGGAATCAAAACCCCCACCAGTTGACACAATGACAGACCGTATGATACAGCGCAGCGCACATGCTAACCATGAGAGAGAGAGAGAGAGAGAGAGAGAAAGAGAGAGAGAGAGAGAGGGGTTAATTCCACTAACATGTAAGGAAAGCAGAGAGCCTGGAGAAAACCCATGAGGTTAGGCAGGCAACCCAACAAGCAATCACAAATAATGTTTCATAAATAATAAAACATCACCAAAACATCACAATATCAATTTTGTCTGAAAAATCTATTTCTATAAACCCAATTACACCGAAAAATAAAATGATACATAGTCTAAACCTACAACCATACAGCTAAAATGGTCAATAGTCTAATTGGGTGGAACCATGCTCAGTCTGAACCAGAAATGTCACACCAAAACGAAGTGGTCTCACTCCAGGATTAAGTACAGTCTTTAGCTAAACATAGAGCATAATAATTCTGTTGTGTAAATAATAAACTGAGTCTGGTAAAGTTGTTTTAATTATAAGCTTTATGAGGTTTATAACTTTAAAGACTTTGCTGACCAGTCGTTGTGATCCAGTATAAATGAGGTTAATAACTTGGTAGACTTGTCTGGTTTATAAACACAGACAACCAGCTGACCAAGTTGTATAAATCTGTACACCAGCTGACCAGCTGACCAGTTGAGAGGAAACGGTAAACAGATTAACCTACCATTAATCATAATAAATCTCCACTAGAAACATCACCAGACCAATTATTTAGTAGTGGAGAGAAAAAACCCATTGCTACGTCTCATTGCCTGTCATTGGACAAGTGTAAACTGTCGGTCGGCATTAATCAACAAGAATCGAATTGATTTTTCAAATTAATTTAAGTCATTAATAAATTTTGGATGCTCCTGACATTAAACCCAAATCATACAGATTAAAACAAAATTAATTTTAACACCATAACTTTTCAAGAAAATGAAGTTAAATGGGGTTTAACAACCTATAAATATGCACCAAAACCAGGCTCTTAAAGTACAGGCATGAGCATTCCTGGACTAACATATGGTTCTTTTTCATTTCAATAATTTGCTTGAGCGTAGGTGTCTTTAACAGTAGGAGGAGTCCCGAAGACATGGAGAAAACTCATGAGGCTGGACAGGCGACCCTACTCCTTGTCATGTTCAAGTTTGGAATCGAAACTACACAATTCCCATTTACAATAAACAAATTCTACTTGTGAACAGCTGAAATAAAGATTGACCAACACCTGACTTGTCTAACGACCTATACAGGTGTGTTGATTGATTGATAGTTCAAACAGATCTGGTGTAATAATAATAATAATAATTTTCATCATTTCCAGACACAAACAGTTTGGTTGAATATAATTGTAAATGTTATCCGAAAGTTAATACTATAGACAAACATTTCATATTTAATGCACAAGGGTGTGTAGGTGTGCCTGTGTGTGCCAAGGAACTTACAAATTTATCTTTTATGAATCGTGTGTTCAACACTTCAACATATTACCTAGCTTTCTTGAGATTAACAGTTATTCAATATGATTATATATACGCAAATCAAGAGATGAGAACAGTGATGGTATCAAAGTTGTGTGTCGTTAGCCCCCCTTCCCCACAAACAACAGTATAAAATATTCAATTCTTATTCTGTTTCAGCTTGTGTCTATGAAACGAGTAAATTTCAGCTTTTAATTAGTTGGGGTGATGTAGCTGATGAAATTGAATGTATGACACCCAGATTTTTAAAAATTTTCTTAAAGGCAGCCCCAGAGCCCCTCCTAACCACATATCCTGCGTCTGCCACTTGATACTTCACATATCACAGCCCATAATGTTGGAATAATAAAAATAAAATACAAGACATTTTCATTAATGTTTTACGCTTGTTTGATATTTTCAATACAAAACTCTGACCAATTTTTCCTCAATTCATAGAATAACTTGATTTTCAGTCCAGCATATCACTTGGATGGAATTATTTTCAATACTCTTTAGTCTTAACTCCAAATTTTCTATTTTTCAGGGACCCTGAAAATACAACAGTGTTGATATTGGCTATTTTATACGAAAGCTGACACTAACCTTTTTATAGGCCTTGAAGACATTACATTTAAATACATTACTAGGTCCATCTCTAGCTATATAACTCCATATCTTTAAATCCTGGGAATCGTGGGATACATAGAAAATCCTGAAATAAGTAAAAAAAAAAAAATGTTTTATTTGAAAAGTTTATAGAATAGAAAATAAGAGTTTAATGTCCACACTACTCCACACAGCACAACAAAGGTCATTTCGGGACTAACATATGGTACAATTTTATTTCATTAATTCGCTTGTGCTTACAGGTATTTAGGAGTGGGAGGAAATCGGAGGACCCAGACCAGCCCCCCCCCCCAAAAAAAAAAAAGTATGTAGGTCATTTTGAGACTAACAAATGCTAATTTTTATTTCTATGGTTATATGGGCATGACAATTTCAGTCAGCAGAAGTGTATTCACATATTAAAACCAGTTTGTACACATAATCTCCAAACTTTTTCTTATCTAGTTTTGAGATTTATGTATATCTTTAAAAGTTAATGTTCAAACAGACTTGAATATTTAGCAGGGGTATTTACAGTGTGAGGAAAACGTAGTATCTGCCCCCATGTCCTACGACCTACTCTTATATCAAATTCCAACTGTCAAGGGATCTTTTACGTGCACGCCAATGTGTACATGGGGCCTCGGTTTTTCATACCATCCAAATGACTGGACAGTCTGGTAGATCTGTGTAACTGATTGATCAAAAGCAGATTTTTAAGTTGAATAGAGTGGTATTTTAATTTATTCATTACGTTTCAGTTCTTGCAACCCTGATCGTATAAGTTATATCATTCTACACACAGAGATCCATCTACTTCATACTTCTAGAATAGACCTATGTCCTAAATGGCCACCATATCCAAAAATTAATATACTGTTTTGTAATGCGGTTCTACTCCGCTTCACATCTGTTATACACACAAAGACTAAATAAATAAACTTTTTCAATTTTATTAAATGGAAGTAGTACTTAACGAAATTCTTGAAGTATACTTAGTGTTTTCGGCTAAAATCGTTGATTTAGGACTTAATATGTCGGTCAACTAGATTGTCATTTCTTGAGAGGAGCTAACTGTAGACAGGCAGCCTAAGTTTAGTATGAAGTTATATAAGATATTGGCCACATCAGATTATATCATGAATGTTGATTTGTTCAAATGAAGTTATTCCCCCTTCTATACACACATGTAACAATTTAATTATAACTATGCTGGAAAATAACTATATCAAATGTTTTACTGAAAATGGCAACTTTTATTTTCGAGCTACGAATTTGGTTAGTTTTTCATTTAAAATATTTCGGCTACAAATCATAGAGTATGTTGTCTTTTCATGTTCAGATAGAGAGAGAGAGAGAGAGAGAGAGAGAGTTCAATGTCCACTCAACACAAATATATCATTTCAGGACTTGTCTTAACAATTCACTTTTGCTTGGGTTTTTAGCAGAGAGCATGGAGAAAACCCACAAGGTTGGACAGGCACCCCCAAACCTTGTCATGTACAAGCAGGGAATTAAAACCACGTCACTTGACTCAACAACAGACCTTATAAACTAAACCACATTAGACCATTCATCACATATATAAGTTTATCTTACTAGAGATGTGAGGGAATGAAAAGGGGTTTAGCATCTTACTAGAGATGTGAGGGAATGAAAAGGGGTTTAGCGTCTTACTATAGATGTTAGGAAATAAAAAGGGGTTTAATGTCTTACTATAGATGTAAGGAAATGAAAAGGGGTTTAGTGTCTTACTATAGACATGATGAAATGAAATGGGGTTTAGCGTCTTACTATAGATGTGAGGAAATGAAAAGGGTCATAATGTCTTACTATGACTTGTAACACATAGACAAGCCCCCCTACATTTTCTAGGGGTAGGCCCGAAGACAGGCTGCCTATGCCATCTGAAGCATGGGATAAAATCCATGTCTTGCACAGATAGGAGACCTTATGATCTACAGTGCATGCATAAGATCACACGACCACCCAAACTCCCAATATTTTCTAGAGTCCCCAAAGGCAGTTTTTCTAAGTGTGGGTTACTGGTGTTGGCTGAGCAAGTTCAAAGAGATTTTCCACTGTGGTTCCCCTTGTCAATGATGCAGGACACAGGGCTTGGCAAGGGATAATGTATAGTCATCGGTGTGCATGTAAAAGAACCCTTGGGAGATAGAATTTGATATAAGAGTAGACCATATTGACGTGCCTAGCCAAATTTCCCCTCATAGCACACCGTATGGCATATGCCAGCCTTCATTACCCGAGTGGGAGTAGTACAGTAGGACGCTAAACCCTATTTTAGTTCATTACATCTTAGAACACATGACTTGCACAGATCACATTCACATGAATTCCCCCCTCCCCCACCACACATGCTGATTTTCTAGAGGTAGTGTTGAATAGAAGCCAAAGATCCCATAACTTGAAGAGATCACACCACTACCCAAACCCCTTCGTCGTACCCCTACACACCCAAAATTTAAGAAGGAAGTGCCATAACCACTCAAAGACCACTTCGCAGATCCTGCATGCATTGATCACACCACCTTTCCTCCTCCCCACCTCAGAAGGTGCCTAAGCCCCTCGAAGGCCTCCTCACAGATCCCTTCACAGACCCTGCATGCATTATTACAACACCTACTCCCATCACAGAAGGTGTCTAAGCTGCCCAAAGATCTCTTCACACATCTTCTCACAAACCCTGCATGTATTGATCACACCACTCTTCCTACTCCCCACCACGGGAGATGCCTAAGCCACCCGAAGACCCCTCACAGACCCTCTCACAGACCTTGCATGCATTATCACACCAACCTTCCTCCTCCCATCACAGAAGGTGTCTAACCTGCCCAAAGATCCCTTCAGAGATCCCCTCACAAACCCTGCATGTATTGATCACACCAACCTTCCTACTCCCCACCACAGGAGGTGCCTAAGCCACTCTAAGACCACTTCACAGACCCTGCATGCATTGATCACAACACCCTTCCTACTCCCCACCACAATAGGTACCTAGCCACACAAAGACCCTCAAAGACCTCTCACAGACCCTGCATGCATTGATCACACCACCCTTCCTACTCCCCACCACAAGAGGTGCCTAAGCCACACAAAGACCCCTGAAAGACCTCTCACAGACCCTGCATACTACTGTTAAAGTTAATAACACAATCAATAAACTGAAATAAACAGCCTGTTACTTGATAATATAATATAACATTTTATTCCTGAACCTAACACAAGTCTAACTTCTATAACCATATTAGGAGTTGATAAAACCCAGTGCGACATGACGAATATTGGATATTTACCACGTATCAATGTCTTCGGTTACACTCACGAAAAAACTTCAACCATTGTAAACGCGAAAATTAAACGTAAAGATTATTGACTCGATTCGCTCTATACATGTGGTGAGATTCAACAAGCCTATTATACGATTTCATTACGCGATTATATTGTGTGGGATTTAATTAAGTTTTGAGTGCGGTGACAGATCGTTAGTTTTATCAAGCCAAGTGAAGAATCAACATAACCTATGGCTTTGATAAGTTCTTAAAAGGGTTGTACGACTTTAGCAAGTAATATTATATGAGTTTATTAAGTTTTAAAGTGCAAGTTATTTAGCTTTAATAAGTTTTAAAGGATTAAGTTATTTGGCTTTTTATAAGTTTTATGGTTACATTGTAGATTCTAATAAGTTTTTACACTCTTAAAAAACAATTTCATTGGCAAAATTCTAAATTTCATTGGGGAAATTCTAAATTTCAATAGGGAAATTGTAAATGTCATTAGGGAAACGCTAAATTTCATGGGTGGGGGGGGGACTCTATATTTGATAGTCTGTTATCTATGCAACGCATGAGATCAATCCCAAGCATGTACAAGATAAGTAGTAAGTCATCTGTTCAACCTCATCTGTTTTCTCACAGTAGTTTGGTTTCCTCAAACCTCTAGTAGGACATTAAACTCCATTTCATTTCCTCACATCTATAGTAAGACATTAAACCTCATTTCATTTCATCACATCTATAGTAAGACATTGAACCCCTTTTCATTTCCTCACATCTCTAGTAAGACGCTAAACCCCATTTCATTCCCTCACAATAATAGTAAGACACTAAACCTCATTTCATTTCCTCACATCTCTAGTAAGACGCTAAACCCCATTTCATTCCCTCACAATAGTAGTAAGACGCTAAACCTCATTTCATTTCCTCACATCTCTAGTAAGACGCTAAACCCCATTTCATTCCCTCACAATAGTAGTAAGACGCTAAACCCCATTTCATTCCCTCACAATAATAGTAAGATGCTAAACCCCATTTCATTTCCTCACATCTATAGTAAGACATTAAACCCCATTTCATTTCATCACATCCATAGCAAAACATAAAACTTCATTTCATTTCCAGCATAGAAATGGAAACATATATGTGTTAGTCTTTTTATCAAGAAAATAAACAACGTTTAGCCATCATGAACTTTTCTTATCATGGGTGTTTCACTTTCAGTATCTAAACGAAGGCAGGTAATCATTCAGGTATATTATTGACATGAACTTAAAAATACTGAGCAGGTGTACCTATGATTCACTACGTTTTTAAGGTAATCATAAATTTTAGCCTACCAGTATTCAGACTCTAATATACTAAAAACAAATTATCAAGACATATTTTTGTTGTAAGCTATTAATACCTAGGGTATTCGAGCGTATTTTTTCGTCTTATCGTTCACAGCGACGACAATCCTGATCGGCAAACGATTCTCCCGACCGATCACCCAAATCTAACATGTTAGATATTCTTGGCCGAATATTTTAAGCCAATTCGCCGGTATATCCACTTGTCTGCCCATGACCAGCATATATTGTCGAGCAACCATTTTCATAAGCCAATCAGAGACATCATTGATATTACATGATCTCAAAATGACTGAAGCGTGCAGTTTGACGAAAGAAGAAGAATTGGTGATTCTTTGGTCAGAAAGGCCTTGTCTCTTTAACGTCACGATTCAAGTGTTTAGGGAGCAAATGATTAGCAGCTATCACAGCAATCTCAAATTTTGTACAAGTCCAAGATTGATGTAATTTACTTGCAGAGT